CAGCAGGAAAATGAACCAGCTCCTGGCTTCTGTCCCCACACCAACACCTCTGAAGAATGTTCCAATCCTGTCCCTCCACTGCCAGTGTGACAACGTCTGTAACTCAGCCTGGCCTCCTGGGGTTCTCCCCGCGTCCACACCGCCCTGAGGCCCCTCGCACCCGGGCCCTGGTGCTGGTTCACCCGCCGCTCCCTCTCCCCTGCCAGCCCTTCCTCCCCGCTGCCCCGACCGGCTCTTCTGGGGCGTTATCTGAACCCACCACCTGGCGCAGCAAGATGTCCAGTGTAACACGAGTGCCCGCCTGACCACCCCGTTCCCGCAGGGAGCCAGAGAGGACGCCCTGGCGCGTCCTTGCCAAGCTCTGCACCCTCGTGGAGGGGGAGGGATGGCATCTTACTCCCCCCGGCCTGACCGCCCCAGGCACCAGAGGGACGGCGCTGAGCAGCAAGGACAGGGTCGGGACCAGGCCTCGGTCACCGAGGTCACCAGGCTGGCTACCCGAGGCTGAACTGGGGGCCCACGCCGGCCACCGCCCGCCTCGTGGGAAGTCAGAGCAGTCCCCACTCAGGGTCCACCAGCCACGGCCCGCCCGCAGGCCCGGCGCAGGAACAGGGCAGTCACCGACTCAGCAGCCGCTTGCAGGGCCTGGGGCCACCTGCGGCCTCGGCTCCGGCCTCAGGCTCCGGGCCTGAAGAGGCGGATGCCACGTCGCGTGCCCTTGCCCAGAGGTAGGCCCTCACGGTGGACGACGCCAGGACCTCCAGCTGGGGAGCAGCGGCTGCGTCTCAGTCGGGTTTCTCAATCTCCCTCTCCCATGAACTGCCTTTTTATTCTGTTGATTGTGTCCTTTTTTGCACAGAAGCTTTTAATTTTGAAGAAATCCAATGTATCTATTATTACCTTTGTTGCCTGTGGCAAGAAGTCATTGCCAAAGCCAATGTCATGAAGCTTTTCCCATGTTTTCTTCTAAGAGTTTTATACTTTTAGCTCCTACAATTAGGTCTTTAATCCATTTTGAGTTAATTTTTGTATGCGGTGTAAGATAAGCATCCAACTTCATTCTTTTGCAGGTTTTCCCACCACCATTTATTGCAGAGACTGTCCTTTCCCCATTGAATGGTCTTGTCATCCTTGTTGAAAATCATCTGACCGTGTATGCGAAGGTTTATTTCTGTGCTCTCTGTTCTATTCCGTTGGTCTGTCTTTATGTCAGTGCCACACTGTTTTGCTTACTGTAGCTTGTAGTGAGCTTTAAAATCTGGAAAAGTTAAGATCTTCAAGTTTGTTCTTTTTCAAGATTGGTTTGCCTATTCGGAATCCCTTTAAATTTCATACGAGTTTTATTTTTATTTTTATTTTTTGAGACAGTCTTGCTCTGCCACCCAGGCTGGACTGCAGTGTGTGATCATAGCTCATTGCAGCCTCCTACTCCTGGGCTCTGGCAATTCTCCCTCCTACCTCAGCCTCCCAAATAGCTAGGACTACAGGCACATGTCCACACCTGGCTAAATTTTTTTTTTTTTTTTTTTCTGTAGAGATGGGGTCTTGCTATGTTACTTTGGCTAGTCTTAAATTCATGGCCTCAAGCGATCCTCCTGCCTCAGCCTCCTGAATTGCTGGGATTATAGGCATGAGCCACTATGGCTGGCCTCATATGAATTTCGGGAAGATATTTTTCTAAGTCTTCAAAAAAAAAAAAGCCATGGGGACTGCATTAAATCTGTAGATTGTTTTCAATAGTACTGACATCTTAACAATATTAAGACCTTCAATCCATGAACATGGGATGTTTTTCCATTTATTTGTCTTTAATTTCTTTTAGCAACACTTTATAGGTTTCAACAAACAAGTCTTTTGCCTCCTTGTTTATTCCTAAGTATTTTACTCCTTTTGATATTATTGTAAATGGAATTGTTTTCTTAATTTCTGTTTTAAATTAGTCATTGTTAGTGTATAAAACAACTGATTTTTGCATGTTGATTTTGTATCCTGCTACTTTGCTGAATTTGTTTATTGGTTTTAACAGTTTTTTGTGGACTCTTAAGGGTTTTCTGCATATAAGATCATATTGTCTCTGAACAGAGATAATTTTCTTTCTTCCTTTCCAATTTGGATACTATTTGTTTATTGACTGCCTAATTGCTTTGGCTAGGATTTCCAGTACTATGTTAAATAAAAGTGGCAAAAGCAGGTACCCTTGACTTTTCTTTTTTTAAGCTGCCCAGGGAAAGCTCAAAACTTGACTTGTTCTTGATCATAGAGGGAAAACTTTCAGTCTTTCACCATTGAATATGATGTTAGCTGTGAACTTTTCATGTTTGGTCTTTATTATGTGAGGTAGTTTCCTTCTATTCCCAGTTTGTTGATTGCCTTCTTCATTAAAGGGTGTTGAATTTTGTCGAAGTCTTTTTCTGTGTCAATTGAGATGATGATCTCCTTCGAGCATTTCTTCAAGAGGACAGTGGAATAACTCCCATATTACCATAATCATACTATTCTTTCTGTTGTGATGTGATGCACAAAATGACACTTCATAAAGTATTTGATAATTGTAAAATGGTCTTATGTGTGGGAAAGGGAGTAAATTTTAGTCAAGTGAATGTAATTAATCAAGCAAAAGGCATTTGCTTTGAAACTTTCCTGGGGCATCAAACTATAGTAAAACTTGACTAAGTGGAAGCTGATTTTTACGCTTAAAGAAGGATTTAGTATTTTTTACTTAAATTTTTCAAAGTGATATATACACATTTTCTTTCTGCAAAGGGAAAATGTATTCATATGTTGCATATGTCAACATCTTTTTTAAGCATTATAAATACACAGACAGGGCACAAGTTAGAAGGCTCTAACAGCTTCCCAAAGCCCCCTCATGCCCTTTCCAGGCACTTCCCCAAGGTTTGCTATGTTCTTGATTTCTTATACCATAGATTAATTTTGTATTTTATATAAGTGGTACAGTATGTACTCTTTTTAGTCTGGTTTCTTCACTCAACATGGTATTTGACATTCGTCCATTTTGTCATCAGTAGTAATACTTTGTTTACTCTTATTACTATATAGCATTCCATTGGGTGAATATTCCACAATTTATTTATCCATTCTACCGTAGATAGACATTTGAGTCGTTTTCAAATTCAGACTATTAAAACGAGTGCCGCTCTGAATATTCTTGTATGACTCTGGTGAACATACGTACACTCCTGTCAGGTTAAATCCCAGGAGTGGAATTACTAGGTCATAGAGTGTGTGTGTGTGTACACACGTGCAGGTTCATCTTCGGTAGAAAAAAATACCAGTTTTTCAAAGTCATTGTAAGAACACTGTTATCAGATTTATGAGAGTTGCTCCACATCTTTGCCAGCATTTGGTATTATCTATCTTTTGATTTAAGCCATTCTGGTGGTTACAGTAATATTTTATTATGTGTTTTGTTTGTTTTTTGTGTCACAGTTTTAATTTGAAATTTCCTGATTACTAGAGAAGTTAAATACTGACCTTTTCAAAAGTTTGTTGACCATTTAGGTATCTCCTTTTGTGAAGTGTCTGTTCCAGGTTTTGCCCATTTTTTCTGTTGTCTGATGCTTCTACATTGTTTTATGAGAATTCTTTATAAATTCTGGACATCAGTCCTTTTTCAGATATATGTATTACAGATCTCTTCTCCCTTTCTGTGGCTTTCCTATTCACTCTCTAATGGTATCTTCTCACGAACAGATGTTTTTACTATTGATGAAGTCCAGTTTCTCATATTTGTTTTCGTTTTAGTGCATTCTGTAACCTAAGAAGAATCTTTACCTAACGCAAAGTCATTAAGATATTCTCTTTTCTTCTAAAAGCTTCATTACTTACTTTTCATATTTAGATCTGCAGTCCATCTGGAATCAATTTTGTATATGGTGTGAAGCTTGGGGTCAATATACATTTTTCCCCCGTATGACCTCAAATAACCAGCAGGATTTTTTGAAGACCATCCTTTTCCCACTCCACTACTGTTATCTATCCTCACCATTTTTAGTAGCTGTAAACTATGCCATTGTATGGCACTGTCAACTTATTCAGCCATTGTTCCATTGGGCATTGGGGATATTTTCTGGTCTCTACTATCATCAAACAGGGTGAATACTTTGTATGGACATCAAGCCATTCTTCTGCAATTGTTAACACAGAAGTGGAATGAATAAATGAGTGAATGACTGACTTATGTATGTATGATGGGGTCTGGCTCTGTTGCCCAGGCTGGAGTGCAGTGGTGTGAGCACAGCTCACTGCAGCCTCCAACTACTGGGCTCAAGACAACCTCCCGCGTCAGCCTCCCAAGGAGCAGGGACTACAGGCGCACAATACCACCACTCGGCTGAAACTGTAAATCTATCTTGCATTTGTTTTATTATGTGTGAGGCTGAGCAACTTTTCAGAAGTTTAAGGGCTATTTGTGTTTTTTGCCCTTTTGGGGCCAGAGTATGCCCTTGTTAAAAGCTCTTGGGTACACGTTGCTAGATGGACTCCAGAGGCCCAACCCCGGGCCTGTCTCTCTTCGTCATCACTGGGCCTGGGCCTCACAGCTAGAACAAGGCCCTGCGTGTTGTCACAGCCGGCACACACACAGCTGGGGAGCTCCGGGCCCGCCCCTGCCGGCTGCGCGCGCCAGCGCCACTCGTCACGTGACGTCAGGTCGGCGCGGAGAGGACGCACTGGGAGCCATTGCTCTGTGGCCCTCGCCGCTGGCCTGCTCTCGGAACGTGCATGACCTGTGCTGAATGAAACGGTCTGCCGCGTGACGGCGAAGGGCTGCGACAAGGCGCAGTCAAGCCCGCAGCGTCCGGCCCTGACTGAACGCAGCTCGTTCCCTCGGTGGCGTGGCCCTCGCGGCCCCGCCCCTGCCCCGGCGATTAGCGGCGGGCTCCGTTGCTAGGCAGCCGCGTCGGAGCGGCTCAGAAAGACGGTGGCTGCGCGGGGGAATTCGGGAGCGCGAGGGGCACGGACCCGCGGGCAGCGCCCGGATGGACCAGTACTGCATTCTGGGCCGCATCGGGGAGGGCGCCCACGGCATCGTCTTCAAGGCCAAGCACGTGGAGGTGAGGCCGGGCCGGGTCGGCAGCCCGGTGGGAGTGCGCTCTCTGCCCCCGCCGCCTGCCGCCCCAGACTGCTTCGGTTTCCTACCTTTTTACACCCAACAGTTTTTGAGACCTGCCCGTTTCCTGGACCGCACAGCTGTCCGACACCACCGCCTCCCCTCGCGCCCCTATTTGCCCAAGGGCAGGACTGGTCTTAGACCTGCGGGGAGTGAGGGGTGCCTGTGGCCGAGCCGGGGTGCGTTTCTCTCGCTGCGCCTCCGCGTCCTCTCCCCCTTCTTTCTCTTTCCCGGCCGCGGGCGGGCTGGCGATGTCAGTTCTTTCCTGCAGACTGGGGAGATAGTTGCCCTCAAGAAAGTGGCCCTGCGGCGGCTGGAGGATGGCATTCCCAAACAGGCCCTGCGGGAGATCAAGGCTCTGCAGGAGATCGAGGACAGTCCGTATGTGAGTGGGGAAGGGGGCTGTGAGCATCGCGGTCCCGCCCTCCTTCCCGCTCCCTCACGCCTCCTCTTACCCACTCACCCTTCCCTCTGCCATTCACCCACTCCGCTCATCCATCTGCCTCCTTACGCCTACTTTTGCCCTTTTTTCCCACTTGTTCACCCTCATTAACCTAATTACTTGATTCCTTACTTATTCATTCTCTCATTTACCCACTTGTTTCTTTATGTACTCATTCATTCACTCACTAACTTATTTTTTTCTCAAAATATTTAGTGATTTCTAATAATGATAAGTAGCACCTGTTGAGCTCCTCGTGTGTTCTGCAGGCCATGTTAAATGCTGTACGTAAGCATGTCACACCGCCTCCTCTTTACTGCCCTGCAAGGCAGATTTCAGGATCTCCTCTTCTTAGGCAAGGGCAGGAGGCTAAGTCAACAGCTCATGGGCTGTCAGCTGGCCAGTGGAGGCTTTGGCCCAGGTCTGATTGAGGAGTCCAGACATTCTTCCCTTTGGGCCTCCGGTAGGCCCTACCCTGTGCAGGACACTGGTGGCACAGAGAGGAACCGGCTCTAGCCAGGCTCCTGAGAACTTAAGTGCGCTAATGTTGACAGAGGTGTCAGGGCCAACCTGGTGTGGTTTGTGCTGTGACGGGCTACCTGGAGGGGCTGCGGCAACGAGGGACATCTTTCACTGCCAACGTCAGTACTCTTATGGTGCTTGCTGTCTGATCCTTGCCAGAGTAGGGAACATATGCAACTCCTGGAAAGTGACAAGGGTGGGTCTCTGCCATCCTCTGACTTACATTCCTTGTCTTCTGGAGATGTTCATGATGTATTTGGTGACAAAACCATATTATAAAACTCTGTGACATCTGAGTTTTATTTGAAAATATTATGTATTTGTGTATCTCTGTGTACCCTACCTGCTGTAAAGCCTCATGGAATACACTCTAAGGTTGACTGTAGGTGGTAGGATTTTTCTTTTGTTCTTTCTTTCTTTATAATTTTGTGTCTTATCTGAACGTAAGCTTGTGTTTTGATCTGTAAAATGATTGTGTACTACCTGAGAAATCAGAGCTAATTTTCAAGGAAAATAAAAGGGCTTCCAGATAGCACGTGTGGGATAGGTGGAGAGAGATCCATAAAGAGGCTGGTGACAGGGTCCCCACCTCTGGTGGATCAGTAGTCCTGAAGTTTCTATCTTTAAAACATACTCCAGATTTGCCCCTAGCCCAGGTCATTGTCACCACTCGTCAGAACAACAGCAGCAGCCTCCCTGCTGCTCTCCCCAGCCAGTCCAGAGGGCTCTGTGAGAAATATAAATAAAATCATCCACGCCCCGCTCAAGCAGCCCCGTTGACTTCTCTTCACACTTAGAGCACCATCACTGCGTGCCCACCTCCAGCCGGCCTCTCTCACTCCCCTCGTTCAACACAGATTGTTCGGCATCTCTCCAGTGCCCAGCTCCGAGCTAGGCCCTGGGAGCACAGAACTGAGCAGACACATCCTTCCCCGAAACAACCTCACATTCTGTGTCCCTCCAGCTTCCTTCTGTGCTGGCCTCAGGGCCTTGCACTTGCTGTTCCCCCTGCCCGCAGCTTCTTCCCAGATTTCTGCATAACTGGCTTCTTGTCTAGCCCTTCCCTGACCCCACTGCATCTAAATAAATTATCCATTTCTCTATCCACTCAGAATCGCACTCCTCTCTTGTATTTCTATCCTGTGCTTATCAGAACCTGAACATATCCCATTCATTCATGTATTTGTTAATCATTTGTTCTCTGTGTCGTGAGTTCCTTGGAGTCCTCGTCTCCTAGCTTCCTGCTCTGTGCAGCCTGGCCGCTCTGACAGTGGTGGCTTCCATGTGTGCGATGTGTCTCCAGCTGCTCCAGCACTGGGGAAGAACTGATTGCTTGTGCCCTTCCCGTGGTGCTGGGATTTAATGGCTCTAGAGGAAACAGGAGATCTGTGCTCGTGTGTGTCCAGCCACATGATTTTCGGGTGGGTGGGCTGGGTTGGGGGACCAGATACTGCCACTACGTGACCTTCTTTAGGCCTTTTCCCTGAATGTTCGTGGAGTTAGAGTGGGGGTCCGCCTTGTCTCAGGAGAGCAGAGCAGCGTGAACACTGAGCTCCCTAGTTCTGAGCTCAGGTCCCATGTCACCTTCTCTGCCTGCTTGGTCCTCTGTTGGGGCACTGACTGGGAGTCTGGGGGTCACAGAGAGAGTCTGGTGATGTGAGTCTGGGGCTAACAGGACGTCCTTCCCTCAGGTGGTGCAGCTGAAGGCTGTGTTCCCGCATGGCGCAGGCTTTGTGCTGGCCTTCGAATTCATGCTGTCAGATCTGGCTGAGGTAGTGCGCCATGCCCAGAGGCCGCTGGCCCAGGCACAGGTCAAAAGCTACTTGCAGATGCTACTCAAGGGTGTTGCCTTCTGCCACGCAAACAACATCATACATCGGGTCAGTCCCAGCATGGGCCACGGGTGGGACCTGGGGGGCTGACTCGGCTTGAGGGTAGGGCTAGCGCTTGAAGAAGGTGTGGTCAGAGGGGGGACAGAGGTGGTCAGGGCTTTGGGGTAAATAGCTGGGGCATGGTCCTGACCTGGGCGGTCAGCCTGCCGAGGTCCCCGTGTCCCAGGGTCCTGTGTGAGATTTGAGAGACTGATGCCTTCTTTGATATCCCCAGGACCTGAAACCTGCCAATCTGCTCATCAGCTCCTCAGGCCAGCTCAAGATAGCGGACTTCGGCCTGGCCCGAGTCTTTTCCCCAGATGGCAGCCGCCTCTACACACACCAGGTGGCCACCAGGTAGGGAAGGTTGGATCTCTTCCAGCTCTCTCACTGGGAAAGAGATGCTTCTGGGCCTTCTGTCCAGACATTGCTTGTGGGGCTGGTGTTGAGCTGGGGTAACCTTCTGGGGCATCCTCCTCTCAGCCCAGTGGCCTGGCTGTGACCACCAGTGCTCTTCCTCACAGGTGGTACCGAGCCCCCGAACTCCTGTATGGTGCCCGCCAGTACGACCAGGGTGTCGATCTGTGGTGAGACCCCTGTGTGGGGATGGGGTGATGTGGGTCTTAGACTCCTGCTGGGCCCTGAGGTTCTGAGATATTAGCTGTCTTTTTTCCCTGATGGGAGCTCTAGGTTGAGGGTGTCTTCCATGACTGAGGTATTCTGAACAATTTGGGGTTGGTGTTCCTCACCGGGATGTTTTTGAGCTGAGTGGGGGTCAGGTGGGATGAAAATGGTGGTTCCAGGTGGGAAGCCTCTGGGCTGGGTGGGGAGGTGGTCTGAGGCTCAAGGTAGGGAGGGTCTGAGCTGGTCTGTGCAGGGGTTAGATCCTCAGATGTGGTATCTCTGAATGGTCAGAGGCCTGTGTCCCTGGACGTGAAGGCTCTGAGACTTTTTCGGGGGGAAGTATGGTTGGCAGTGCCCACAGGTCTGATGTGGAGCTGGTTTGCTGGTCTGCTCCAGAAGGTGCAGAAGAGCTCCGTGTCCTAGAGCGGGAGGCTCTGAGAAGTCTCAGAACTGTTGGGGCTTTGACTGTTTGGGGACTGTGCCCCTGGAAGTGAAACTCCAGGGGGCCTTGCCCGGGAGCGAGGTATTGGGGCTGCTGTGGGGAGGTCTGTGTCCCGTAGTGGGAGATCTCTGAGCTGTTTGGGGCTCTGTGTCCACAGGGCCGTGGGCTGCATCATGGGGGAGCTGCTGAATGGGTCCCCCCTTTTCCCGGGCGAGAACGACATTGAGCAGCTTTGCTGTGTGCTTCGCATCTTGGGCACCCCCAGCCCTAAAGTCTGGCCGGTTTGCAGGGGCCCTTTGTGGGGAGGGTATGGGGGCAGGTTTACTGCACTTCCCAACAGCAAGTGACTGCTCCCTCCCCCGTACCTTCTTTCTCCTGGCCCCAACCCTCCTGGACCCACAGGACCACTGTTCTGGCCCAACTCAGAGGTTCCTCCCTTCTGCCATTATTCGGGGGGTTGAGGGCAGGTCCTGTCCTCTGCCCTTTCCCACTGCAGCACACACACGCACAGTGTCTCAGCAAGCTGGGCACGGAGCTGGCATCTGAGAGGCTGAGGGCAGGGATGAAGGAATATAGGAGTAGATGAGCGAATGAATGGTGCCAGGGGTGGGGTGGGGGCCAGTGAGTGAGCGTGAGGGCACGTTAGGGACTGAGAGCTGGTGGCAGAGGGAGTGGCGAGTGCCCACTCTTGCACGCCTCCTCCCCTGCTCCCCTAACCAGGAGATCACCGAGCTGCCCGACTACAACAAGATCTCCTTTAAGGAGCAGGCGCCTGTGCCCTTGGACGAGGTGCTGCCGGACGCCTCTCCTCAGGCCTTGGACCTGCTGGGTCAGTTCCTCCTCTACCCCCCTCGCCAGCGTGTCGCAGCCTCCCAGGTAGGGTGAGAGACCATGGTCTCTGCTTCTTCAGCCCCCCTCCACTGCCCTGATACACTCTACACTTGGTGGCCACGTGAGCCCATCAAGTCAGCAGCGCTCAGCATCTGTGATGGGCATGGAGCAGAACCAGGTGTCTGGGACGCCTGTGCTGCCCACAGATCCCAGGGGCAGAGGCCTCAGAGCAGTCGTGCCTCTTGTGAGCAGACCCCCCTGGACATCCCCAGAGTTCCCTGAGAGGCCGGGGCGGCTACTGGAGGATCATGCCCACCTTACAGGAGAGCCTGTGTCTGGGTGTGCTGGCCCCTGGGCTGCCTCAGGCCATGTGGCAGATGCGGCAAGAGAGTTGCTGGGGAGTCGTCCCTTCAGTCCTTTAGTATTTACTGAGCACGTGGCACATGCTGGGCATCGTTCTGGGCCCTGGCGCAGGTGGTGAACTTTCGACCTGCCTCCAGGCGGCTCCCTGTCCCCTGTGGTGAGGTGGCTCCTGCCTGGAAGGTTATAGGAGGGCATGCCACTAGGCTGTGGGAGCCGCGGAGGGAGAGCAAGCAAGGCTTTCTGGCGGAGGGCAGGTTTAGGCACCAGGACGTGTTCGAGGAGGTGTTCGCTGAAGAGAGAAGTGGTGAGCAGCAGCCTGGAGGGGAGGACTCGGGTGTGGCTGGAGGGCCAGTGGGGACGACGAGCACCACGGGAGCCACGGCTGATGAGTGTCAAGGCCTCACCCTCAGGCATGCCTGTGTCCTCTCCGCACTCGGCAGCAGCAGCCGGTGTTTGTGCACGCCACCTTGGTCCCCACTGTCCGCAGCTCCTGGGGGCTCCGCCTCCACGCACATCCAGGCCTTCTGACCGCTTCTTTCCTGGTTCGCCTCCCAGAACCTGTATCTCCCTCATCCCATTTAATCTCTTCTCCCCTGGCAGAGAGAGGGACCTTGTCCAGGCAGAGCAGAACACACCCATCCTCTGCCCGGGCCCTCCCGTGGCTCTGTCTCACTCAGAGGAAAAGCTGGGGTCTTTCCTGTGGCCCAAGGTGCTGCATGCTCAAATGCTGTCATCTCTTGACCCTGCCTGCTCTTGTCCCCTGTGCCTACTCTTCCTCAGGCCCAGGGCCTCCTGCGTGTCCTGGAATACACCAGGACACCCTCTGGGGTCTGTGCACTTCTGTCCCTGCCCTGGAGCCTCACGCCCTGCTCACTCACCTTTCTCAGATCTTTGCTCAGATGTCACTCAGGTGGCCTTCCCTTACCACTCTTCAAATCTGTGGTCTCACCGGTATTCCCCATTCCCCCTCTTGCTTTCTCTTTGCCACAGAGTGCCGACTATCTGACTGCTGTATGTTTTACTTCATCTTGTTTATTGTTCCCCAGCCCCACCTATGTTGAAAAGGCAGGCGTTTGTCTGCTTTGTTAACCACCATGTCCCCAGCCTCTGGAACAGTGCTTCAGACATAGTAGACACTCAGGAGAGGTTTGCTGAGTCGGCTGACTGCATCGGTAGCTAAAGCAATGAGTCAGCCAGTTGCCTTTGGCCTGAGGCTGGGGACAGGGAGGTGACTGGTTTCTTCTGCTGTCCCTTACTTGCCACCCCTAGGCCCTTTTGCATCAGTACTTCTTCACAGCTCCTCTGCCTGCCCACCCATCTGAGCTGCCGATTCCTCAACGCCCAGGGGGACTGGCCCCCAAGGCCCACCCAGGGCCCCCCCATGTCCATGACTTCCACGTGGACCGGCCTCTGGAGGAGTCACTGTTGAATCCGGAGCTGATTCGGCCCTTTATTCCGGAGGGGTGAGACACTGGCCTTGGTCCTATCTGCCTGCCCCTCAGGATCACCCAAGCCACTTGTTCCTCTGCCACCTGCCTGATTTAGCCCTCCAAGGCCTCCTCACGGCCACACTGGGCCCACTCCACGCCTCATCATGCTCCTTAGCCCTCGTAAGGGCTGGTCTCAAGGAGACAGAAGTCACACTCCCAGCCAAGGTGACGAGGACGCCCAGACCAGCAGAGGAGCCCCACAGCCTGCCCTGTGCAGTGAGCCTCACACCCGCGTGCTGCTGACAACAGTGAGCATCAGCAACAGTGAGCTCCGCTACCGTTCAGGGCCCACCCACACAGAATGGCGATGCCTGCCTTGGTGCCCGCTTCCCAGGCTCTGCCTCCTGGTCAAGGACGTTCCTGTTAGAACTGGTGCAGAGAGTGGTATGTCCTTGTGTTAGAAACTCAAGTGGGAAGGAAGGTTTGGTTTGGTTTTATTCTGAGAGACATTAAACACTCTAGTTCAGGATTTGAGATTTATTATAAAAACCCAAGTGGCTCTGCCTTCTGTCTGCTCCTCCTCCATCCCTATCAAGGGAAATGGCAGAGGTGGCATCATCTCATGACCCTTGTTTTTGGGGGTCACAGCCACAGGGATTCCTGTGTCCCTCACATGACTGAGCACTCATTTGGAAGTGATGTGGACAGAAGTGGAGGCCCAGGTTTGTCTGTTGGGGGCCAGCAGGAGACCCTCCGCACAGGAGGCTGACGTTCCAACACGCACTCCCTTGGGACGAGGGCGAGCAGAAGCAGCGTGTCAATGAGAAGACAAGCCCTCCTGCAGTTAATTTATTAATTTTATAAATCCCAATATAATCCCAGCCAGCTTTTTCCTTATTTTATAATAATTTGACAAAATGATTCTAAAAAATCCATGGGAATGCAAAGGGCCAAGAGAAGGAAGCAGAAGCAGAGATGATGGAAGGACTTACAGCATCAGATACCAAAACTTACATAATGTTGTCATAATTAGGGCAGTATGGTGTTGGTTCAGGGATAGATAAAAACAGACAGACTAGAAAAATGTATTCTTAGCAGTCCTTTATTGTTACAGTGTTTGTTTTATGCTTCATGTGGATAAACTCTCTGAGCACTGAGGATACAGCGGTAGCTAACACTGCTACAGCCACTGGCCTCCAAGCACTTAGTGGGATGACAAAACACAATAAACCTGGTTTTTGCTTTCAGGAGAGTCTGATGTTTTCATGCTCCGGCCTGTTTATTTCTCCAGCCACAGCTTCTGCAGATTCTAAGCTCCAGTCAAGTCTAGTTAATTTCTGGTAGCTCTCACCTCTACATAAAGGGCAGCCTGTACCCAAGCTTGATGTGTTTGAAAACAGTTTAAATAAGATATGGTCAACTGAGGAAAAGCTCATTTGGTGGTTATCAATTGATGCCTTAAATTATTCCTACAAAAACTTGCAAACAGTGCACATTGTACAATGATAACCAGGCACTTGAGGCAATAAGAACATAAACGGCACAAACAACAGAAAACAGACTACAGATATTCCAGACAGTGGATGCACCAGACACAGACTTTTTTGTTAATAGAACTATACTCTGGACTGGGTGCAGTGGGTTACTCCTGTAATCCTAGCAATCTGGAAAGCTGAGGCAGGAGGATCACTTGAGGTCAGGAGCTTGAAACCAGCCTGAGCAAGAGCAAGACCAGTTTATACAAAAATTAGAAAAATTAGCCAGGCATGGGGGCATGCACCTGTAGTCTCAGCTACTCAGGAGACTAAGGCAGGAGGATTGCTTGAGCCCAGGAGTGAGGTTGCAGGAGTTATGATCATGCCACTGCACTCTATCCTGGGCAACAGAGTGAGACCCTGTCTCAAAAAAAAACCAAAAACCTAAAAGAACTATACTGTAGGTTGGGCATGGTGGTTCATGCCTGTCATCCCAGCACTATGGGAGGCCAAGATGGGAGGATTGCTTGAGGCCAGGAGTTGATCAGTCTGGGCAGTATAGCGAGACCCTGTCTCTACAAAAAATAAGAAATGTTAGCTGGATGTGGTGGTGCATGCCTGTAGTCCTACCTATTCAGGAGGCAGGAGAATCGCTTGAGTCCAGGAGTTGGAGGTTGCAGTGAGCTATGATTGTGCCACTGCACTCCAGCCTAGGTGACAGAGTGAGACTCTGTCTCTTTAAAAAAAAAAACAAAAACAAAAAACTATGTACATCCAGGATGCTTAGTAATTACAAAGTTAAAGAGCATACAACTTCCAAAACTATAAGGAAAAATGTAATAATAAAAATACCTGATATAACAGAGGCTACAAATATGTAGCACATAGTAAAATGATAGTTTTAACTAAAGATATTAGTAATTTAGATATAAATACAACAAATGTTCTAGCTGAGACAAAGATTATTTGGTTAAAAAAATGAAGCTATGTGGTATTTCCAAGAGATAAATCTAAAACGTGCATACCAAAAATTTGGTGTAGTTATTTGATATCAAACAATAGATTTTAAAGTAATTAGCATTACTAGGGGTAAACACATAGAATTGTTTTTTGTTTTTGTTGTTACCTCACAGTCCTGCTTTACTTTGAAATCACATTCAATTCTAGTGATAAGATACTCAATTCATTTGTGATTTTTTCTAAATTTGTATGTACCTAATAATATGGTCTCAAATATATTAGAATTGAATAGAGCTTAAAAGACTAAGGATATTATGCTTATAAATTTGACATTTTGGTAAAATGGGCAAAGTCATAGAAAAATTCAGCTTTTTAAAGGCAAAAAAACAAGTGTCTTAAAACTATTAAAGAAATTGATCCCAAGTCAGTGAAAAGATCTCAAAAAAAAAAAAAAAAAGAAATTGAATCTGTTTTCATGATGTAATCTCAAGGCCCAGATAGCCTCGCCACTAAATTCTACCAATCATTTAATAAACAGAAATTGCCAAGATCCCAGAGAAGAGAAAGCCCACTCAGCTTATTTTGTGACATCAGCAATAATCTTGACACTAAAATTCAACAAGGACATTAGAAAAAGGAAAATTATATGATTACTCTTATGAGTACAGAAACAGAGGAAAATATCTTCATGACTTGGTAGTAGTCGCTTGAAGTAATGAAAGCAAGTCTATTAACAGAATTTTTGCCCAGCAAACATATCTTTCAAAAATAAAGGAAAAATAAAGACTTTTTCAGACATGTAAAAGCTGAAAGAATTTGTCACTAGCTGACTCACACTAGAAGACGGTAGAAGGAAAATGATACCAGATAGAAATCTGCATCTGCACAAAGGAATTAAGAGTACCAGAAATAACTAACTGGGAAAATACTGATTTTTTTCTTATCTAAATTTTTGGTAAGATTCTCTAGTGAAACCATCTGGGCTTGTAAAGTTCATCAAAAACCAGGAATGTCTCAGGAATTGTCATAGTCAAGAGGAACACAGCCATGACAACTAAATATATATTTAACAACTCAAATAGTATATGGGTCAAAGAGGAAGTCTTGAGGAGGAGAGAGGGGGTCTGAGGGTCATTGTGAAGGTCAGGGTGAGCATGAATGTTAGGTGAGGGTGGGGGCTGATGTGAGGGCAAAGCCAGGCTGAGGGCAGGGAACAGGGTCAAACTCAGGTTCAGGGTGAGGGTGAGAGCCAGGGAGAGTAAGGGCAAATGTAACAGCCAGAGCAAAGACTGGGTTGAAGGCAAGGGTCAAGCTCTGGTCAAGGCTGAGGGCCAGGGCAAAGGCCAGGCCAGGGGAAGGTCAGGCCCACTACCAAGGCTTGCAGCAGGCCGGAGACCAGCAAGCTCAACATCCAGGGCCAGACTGAAGGCAAAGGAGAGATCGGGAGCAAGAATGAAGGTGATGGTAAGGGCTAGGGCAGGTGCAATAGTTTGACGGTCCCCTCTGAAACTCAGGTTGAAACATAACCCCGTGTGGCAGTATGGAGAGGTGGGGCATCTAAGAGGTGATCGGCTCATGAGGGTTCTGCCCTCATGTATGGATATGGGTTAATGGGTTAATGGATTAATGAGTTATCATGGGAGTGGGACTGATGTATTTATATGAGGAAGAGAGATCTGAGCTAGCACATTTAGCCACCCCCGCCCCCTGCCACGTCATGCCCTGTGCCGCCTTGGGACTCTTCAGAGGGTGCACGCAAACAAGAAGGCTCTCACCAGATGCAGCCCCTCGACCTTGGACTTCTCAGTTTCTGCAAGAAATAAATTCTTTTTCTTTATAAATCACCCAGTTTCAGGTTTTCTGTTACAAGCAACTGCGGGGAGTTAGCTACGCTCCCAGCAAAAATCGGATCCCTTTGGCAGGGGTCATCACAAGAGATAAGGAAATAATAGAAAATAGAAAATAATAGAATATAGAAATAAAAGAATACACAGAGATGAAAATACAGTTTTCATCTGGTAAGTCTGAAAATGGCTTGAGAGAACAAGGAGGAGGGACTGACTTAGGCTTTTCTTGGGGCTGGGGAGGGTGTCGAGCCTGGGCCAGGGTTCATGTGGCTTGAACGTCCCTGCCAGTGCACGGGCTTCCTCATCAGCCTGCCCTGACGTGGAACAGAAGGGGAAGAGAGGGGAGTGGGGCTTAAAAGCTGTCAGTTGTCAGACATCGGAAAGGGAGCCAGACTCTTCATTTTAATTCGCTCTGATGTCTGATGGCTGAAATGTGCATGTTTTATTTAATTGAATTTGAACTTGTGTAAGTAGTTATTATGGTGCTCTCGGAGGTCTGCATTCTAAGGCTGGTAACTGAGGTGAAAGTTCTGTGGAAAGACTTGTTCAGGAGCCCGATACTGTGTATTCTGAAAGCTGAAATGCTTTTGTCTCTTTCCATGTATGAATATATGCAGGGATAAGGACTGTCTTGCTGAGGCCTTGTCTTCTGACTTAAGTGTGTGCAGAGACATGAGTGACCTTTTGATTATACAGCAGGCAAGAGATTCCCAGAGGTCCTTACCCCCACGGGGAAACCTCGAGTGAGGAATCATTTCTGCCTTTGGCGGGCCAGACAGCCGGACCTTTGGCAATGGCTCAAGGGTCTATAAACGTGTGCAAGTGAGGCTGGCTGTTGGCCAGGGCATCCAGGGCTAAGCTGATGGCCTGACGTTCAGGCTTTGGGTCCCATCCTTTTATCAGGGACCTTCCAGTTAAGGGCTCAAGGGCCGCAGCTCTTCAGTGGGCGCCGGCCCATGCAGTGGTG